GTATGTTGCCGCAGCATATGGGGGGCTGACCGGTATTTTCAATGGGAAGTCTTGGGTGAAAGCCATGCGGTCATTCCGTGGTGTATTAGCAGCACTCTTGAAGCGCTTTCTGTCAACTGGACAAAAGACATTTGAGCAGATAGAGATGTATCTGGAGAGTGCCCGCCTCCATCCCACTGGCAGACACTGGGTGGACAACTTCCTTCTCCCAATGCTCCTAATTCACCAGTTTGAGCGTGCAGAGAGAGAGGGTGACATCTACTCGAAGCATTTGACCATGAAGCGCATGATGAAGTACTTCTTCCTCGCTGGTCATGTGCAGTACGCCCGCTATCTCACGCAGTACCTCCTGGAGATGCGTGCACTCCATGTCGAAGACAAAGTGGACCTTGTCTGTCGGCACCATGATGGATACTGGAACGCTGTCTCTGCTGACCAGTTTGGTGAGCAGACTGCCATCCAGATCGGTAAGGGAGCTCTCAAGGGCATGACCCTTCCTGCTGAGCTAGTTTGTGAGTGGATCGACGCCTTCCCTATCACTGTTCACGTCGCAGACCGTGTGGACTTTATCTACTATGACTATACTCCAGGCCAATCGGCGCAGAAGCAGCACAAGGAGGAGTTGAAGCACCGGCGCATCATTGATGCACGCGATCACATGATCGCCCTCATCTATACAATCCCGTCACTGGCCAACGTGCCTCCGCTGATGTGAATGTGGCGGATTCAATTGTGATTGGAGAAAAGATGGAAAGCAAATACATTGCCAGTCTCCCTGACGGGTTCTACAGTGCAATTAGTAGCCCCATCAAGACGATGCATATTCTCAAGAATCAGGGCAAGGGCAACAAGGCCAAGCCAGTAATAGACCTTGAGAACATTTTTCTCCGGCTATTGCTGATTGGTCAGCGGCGGTAGGTGGAGCTTGAGCCTCTGTTTGCCTACGAACTGTGTGCTGTGCCGTCATCGCTCATTGATGGGCATGGTTGTCTCCGTAAAGCCAGTAAGTCTGGTCTGGTCAAACGCCTCGGCGTGCTTGAAGTCTCGCCATCACCTGCTGATATTGTCATCGTGGATGTTTCACAACTGTTCTACCACATTGTGTGGCCACATGGTGGCACTGCCTCAGATCTGATTGCGTCCATCCATGGTCGTTTAAATCGCTATCCAGATGGTACTGAGAAAATTGTTGTCTTTGATAAGTACCAAGATGTCTCTGCCAAAGATCACGAGAGAATGCGGCGAGCTGGTGAAGTTATCATCGACTATGAACTATCCATCACAAGTCCTCTGCCCAAAAGAGATGTAATCCTGCATAGCAAGAATAACAAGCGGATGCTGGCGAGCATCTTGTGTACCTTCAATCTAGGAGATAAGGCGACAATGGAGACCCAGGACGATGGTGTGTTTGGTCATGATGAGGCGGACGTTACCATGATATCATATGTCCTTCAGGCTGCCAACAGCGACAAGGGTGTGATCCGTGTGCTTAGTGACGACACAGACGTATTTGTTCTGCTGGTCTATTGGGTCTATCGGACGAAAATGCAGTGCAAGGTGCAGATGGAGCGATGGGATGGGACAGTGCTAGATATCAATGCCACCTGCGCCAACCTAGGACCAAAATGTCTGCAGCTGCTAGGCATGCATGCCCTCAGCGGTTGTGACACAACATCATACCCCTATGGCAAAGGCAAGATCGGTGCACTAAAGACCTTGCTCGCTGGGGACTTCCAAGGTTTGGCTGATGTACTGGGTAAGAAAGGAATCGAACGGGCAGATTTGATGGAGGCAGCAGAACCCTTCTTCATTGCTCTGTATGGTCAGCCGCCAGAGACACCTATGGAGTCTGCTCGCTTCTCACTTTTCACCAAGAAGAAGAAAACTCCCAAAGTCATGGCCCTTCCTCCAACATCTGCCAACCTGTTGCAGCACGTGCTGCGGGCTCACCTGCAGGTCATGTTGTGGAAAGCAGCAGGACACCAAGCCCCACCAGACGAGTCAGCTGATATCACTCACTTTGGGTGGGAGATGCGGGATGGCATTCCCGCTCCTGCCATTGCTCAGGGTGATCCAGCTCCACCAGAGTTAATTGATGTGATTCAGTGTCAGTGCAAGGCACAGGGCAAGAAGTGCAGCACCAAGGCTTGTGGTTGTCAAAGAGAGCATCTTTCGTGCACATCATACTGTAACTGCTCTGGAAAAGAGGGCTGCTGCAATCCGTACACTAGGAAAGGAGATGCTCAGGCTGGAGTCGAGGGACGTGTGGAGACTCGAGAGATCGAGGATGATGAGGGGGAGGATGTTGAGGGAGAGGATTCCGAGGATGGTGTGGAGCAGGACAGTGAAGACCATGAGGATGTTGAGGGCAGTCTTGTTGATCCTGATTACTTAGATGATGAATGGGAGTAAAGGATAAAGATTATAGGCGATACCAGATATATTTTTGCAGCATAGCATGTATATAACCACATGTATATAACTACCTTTTTATTTATTAAGAACAATCCTTATAACATGATCCTGACAATGACAAATAATGTGACATATGTGCATGGATACCAATAAATGAGATTGAAAGGTACGTGTAAGTCGAAGTTTTCATTCATTGTCCACCAAGAGGTCAAATTTGACCTTGACCTGACCATTAGCACCTGAATTTGACCTCGAATCTTAAAAATAACCCCAGAAATGGATTCTACATACCACAAAACCTCTTAAAAGAGATATTATACATCATTCTAGGACAAGTGGTTCAAGAGTTAAATTTTCAAGATGGCGTCTGGCGGCCATTTTGGATTTATGCAAATTACCAGAGTTGCCCAAACGTGATATTTGGGCAACCAAGCTGAATTTGTTCTAGGACCCCTTGGGAGTATAAATCAACAAAAAAAGTTCATAGGAAAGAACATTTCTAGGTTGGGTCATTGCGTCTATAGGAATGCCAACTGGACTAAATCAGTTGTTCAACGTCACAATATATTTTGTTTTCTTGAAATGTATTCAAGAAACGATGTAAAACTCAAAAGAGGGACTAAATCACCCCTTACAAAATTAATGGAATCGTCTATTGAAATGTCCGCTTCGTTTTGACTATTTCCGAAGAAAGTTACGATCGAAACTTGAATTTTTCTCGCAACTAATCGCAACAATTTGATAAGTTTTGAGGTAAAAACGGACCTGTTTATTCTTAGGACAAAACAAATCAGCATCTGTTGCCACAAAGCAAGATTTGTAGCGCTCCAGTCAGACAACACACGGTGGGTTGCATACTCTCTCACGTGCTGTGGGAAAATGTTGTCATTCACCGGGCGTGCGTGGCGCAGGCTTTGACGGGGCAGCCGGCAGCAGTTCCCGGTGTTTATTTCTCATCAATTCCCATATTTGTTTGTAAAAGTTTCGATTGTAAATGATTTGATATAACTTTTGTGGTCCTTTTAATAGCTTCTGTAGTGTAAATGGAACTGGTTCAGAGCATTTTGACTAGAATTTGGAGGCATTACAAAATTGAAACCGCAGCGGTCGGTGCGGCTTATACGCCGGTGCGGCTTATACGCCGACTTCAAATCTTAATTTGCAGATTTTTGCGTGCTGCGGCTTATACGCCGCGCGGCTTATATTCCGAAAATTACGGTAGATGTGGGTGGTGCATTCTGAATAGACTGATTGGCTTGTCATTTTCTTTGCACTTTCACGTGCTCTGAATTTTTTTGTCCAGGCCGTGGATCATTAAATTCTGTACAGAAGGTGTTAACATGGTGCATTATGAATCCAACACTCAAGACCCCGGGCCATTTGCTGTCGGCAATTTCTTTTTGTCCATCTGAAAGCCTTACATTTTAGACAGTCTACCAAAGAATAGACGACTGTTGCAATAGCACAGTCTAACCATGGAGTAATAAGATCGTTCTTATTCCTCCATGGTCTAACCATGGTCTAACCATGCTGTTAAAGGTAAACATTTGCACACATTCCAAAAGGAAACTGTCAAAATATCACGAAATGTCCTACTTGATTGTAAGGATCGAGCATCTGTGAAATCATTGTACCCAGAATGCTGTCATTTAAAACGAATTTGACAGGTTAGTTTTTAAATAACCTGCTTCAGATTAATTGTATTGTTGGTCCTTCAATCGAGAAAAACATGGGTTTTTTTTTTGGCAAATGATGTCCATTACCTTTTAGCATACAGTCAGTCTAAAAAAAAAAAGTTGCGGGCGCTTGGCTCACTTTAATTGGTTTTTGTTTAGTTGTCAATATCTTTTGTCATTGTCGAAACCTTGAAGAGGATTGTTAGTTTTTGAAATGGAATCATTAACTGAATTACATGTACAATAAACAGCTTGTGAAGAAAACTATTGGGGCAAATAATGAATGACATAGGCCCTACATTTTAATAAAATAATTTAATATTACAAGTCCATGAAAAGTACCCCTTCAACGGCCAGAAAAGGAGAGTTGGGGGAGACCTAGACTGGTTCCCAGTCCATCCACTATATATCAAATGATCCAAAGTTATTGGGGGCGGGGATTAGTCTGGAAGACCATCGCAAATTAAATTTGAACGTATTTGCGCGCCGCCGACGCCTGACGCTCACGCGAAGACGTTGTGGCTTAACTTTGTGCACAGTTACGCACATGCAGTATCCTGTCCAAGGGGCTCTCAAAAGTGGTAAAAACACGCCCTCTTTTGTTGGTGCATGGAGCCCATTGACAAGCATTGGAACCAGTCATTTTACAAGAACTATTTCTGACACACATGTAATTTTGTTGCTTTGAGTTTATAAATAAGGCTATGTCCGAACTACATGGCTATGGCTGTAAAATACATACACGCCTATGAAAGCCACTGCAGCCACTTCTTATAGACCCGTGTGTTATCTCCAGCCATAGTCAAGTAATTGGGGCACAGTCTAAGGTTCAAATAATTTCTATTAAAATTGCATAGCTCATCCAAACCTCATTTATTTTATCGTGCTCGTTTATTTTCTGATCTATAGGTCTGAGAGCGGCCATGGAGGCTGGGCCTGCCAGAATAAACGACCTGACCATTATCCAAACCGGCCAGGTATTTGACATTTCCTCCTGTTTAAAGTCCAATTATTACAACCTGAAATTTTGCACAGAAAATCACCAGATTCCTCTGCGAAACCACTCGGCTGTAATTTCCAAATCAAGATTGACTGGCCCCAGTGACTCCTGATAGATTTTGCGCCAGGGAGAAGTCAATTCTATTATTCGCCTCAGCCCTGCACTGCCATAATTGTATTAGTACGGTATTCTAGGTTCTGCCTGAAAGCTTGTGATAAAAAAGCAAGTTTGAGATTCTTTTCTCATATGTATGCTTTTGCACAGCACTGAGTGCAAATATAATAACCTTGGTGAGGCCAGAACCAATATTTAAATTCGCCCATTGGCTGACCGAAATGGACATTTCTAAGCACACTGCCTCATTTGTAGAAGTGCTTAAGTCAGACCTTTTTGCCACAGTGTCAATATGTGTTTGTGTGCTGTGCTGCAGGCCAGCCTACGTACGTGCCTTGCTTGTATGCGTACCATTTAGCCTACATTGTATTGATCTTGAAACTGACTGCTCTAAGGTGTAAGTGTAATCTATGTGGTGCCGTTGGACACATGCATTTATTATTCATTACAAACTGGCTGTGAGCATCGAGGGTGTCATGTAAAAGGAACGTGCAGTTTTTGCAGTGCTGGATTTAATGTTGCCAACTGAATACATTGTGTAGGAAAACAAACCAGCAGTAGAAATAAAAATTGAAGGTTTCTGGCCGTTACTTTAAGATTTTTTTTCTAGCCCACTGTACTGTTTGGCTACACACGACACGATCCCACCTGAAATGTCACTGGCCCACTTTAGATTCTTTTAGAAATATAAAAAATATTTTATAAGAAGCTACATGGTAAACAGTCTGAAAATAATATCAGATGCTAAATTTGCAAACAATCAAAAATAACATACATATACTTAAAAGACTTTTTAGGATCGGCTTGAATTTTCCCAAATTATTTCAACTGACTGTTGGTGACTAGCCTGTGTTAAAAGTATAGCAGGGGAAGTGAATGGACATTTTGACTGTCTGTGACTGTTTAAACAGCAGGAGGGTTGATTAATTCAATGCACCATTGACAGCAGTAATCTTTGTCATTTGTCAGTCAAGATTTTCTGATATAGCGATTCCGTAGGCAACTGCATTTTGCAATTTGTCTGCTTCATATTAGTTTTCCTCTCGCCTGATATTTTATTTTTGTGGATTTTCTGGATTACTGTAAACAGTCAGGCTAGATACAACCCCCATTTAAATGCAAAACAATTTAATCCCAGCATGTATAATGCAACATATGTTACAAATTAAATATGTAGAAAGACTAATCTTTTATTATTTGCACAACCAGAGGGAAGCTCATGAAAAATATTCTATACCTGCTTTTAAAAGCAAATTTGATAATTTATTAAAATTGGCGTAGATCACTCTGATCTTCAAGACAAAATGCACAAATAACGTCTTCTGTTTTTGATGTTGTTTTTAGGGGCTGGTCCGCTACCTGGAGTCAGTTAACCCAGAGTGCAAGTCACAAGGTGTTATCATCGGCTATGATGCCAGGCATTGCAGCAGAAGGTACAATATATTTGGGGGGTGTTTTGGTTTTAGGGTTTTTTTTGGTGGTTTTAACAGTTTCTTCTTCAAATTTATTTTAGTAAAATATGTAGACTGATTCTTGGTGTGATGAAGAAAGTGTTTCCTTCTTTGTCTTTCCTTCTTTACTTTTTATGTTCCGTTTAAATAATGTCATTTGAACAAAAAAAATAACCATTTTTACATTTTTTTGTGTGGGTATTATATAATAATAACAATGAATATTTATTCATTTCTACAGCAGCGTAAATTGAAATATATTCAAATGCACTGAACATTAAAAGACCAAACTATACTTAACCCTAACTCCCTAGCGTCTTTTACTAGGAACTGGACCAATTCCATCAAAATCCATCAATCACTGTGCATCCAATACAAAACTGTACATGACATAATGGAATCCACCACTGACGCACTGGTTGACATTCATGGACTTGCTACACATGGCTTTTATCACAATAGCAGCACAGGAAGCTAGGCAAAATCAATCGGATACCCCTAGCCCTGCTTCAGGCCATTAGGCCCAAGTCCATCATATTCCATCAATATTTAGTCACGCCAGGCCTTCTGGACCAAGTCCCCCAAAATCCACCAAAATGGGGGGATGGATATTGATGGAGTTGGGTCGGTTAGGGTTAAAGCACAAACTATACTGTGGTATTTTTGGAGATTCGGGAAAAATCCATGACAAGAAACGCCCACGGAGTTAAGGTAAAACAAAGAACCCCCCTGGGAATCTCCACGATGTAATGACTAACTCTGTGTGCCACTCTCTCCTTAGATATGCTGATCTGACCGCAGCCATAATGCTGCAGGCTGGACTGCCGGTCTTCCTGTTCTCAAAGATAGTCCCCACACCGTTTGTTGTGAGTTCATAACATCTGTATTCTCTTTGTTTGTCTTTTTGATAGATTTACCATAACATTTCAATAGAATATATGAGAACATATTGAGCGAAAACAGGTGACCACTTCGGCTGAGCACATTTACTAAGCAATTATATCTACTTAGCAGCCTCATTTAATTGTCCCCATCCAGTTTTTTTGTCAATGCAGTTTGATTAAATGCTCAAACAAAAACATGATTGTTTTCAGGCATTTAATAATAATAATCATCACCATTTAAAGGGAATATACAACATTTGCAAACTTCAAAAACAACACTACCAAATTATTATGAAATGCCTTACTGGACTATTAGGGAATGACAGTCTAAAGCATCATGTAAAATCATGGCACCTGGCGTGCTGTCATTTTCAAGAAAAGTGGTATTTTTGTATCATTTTCCAAGCTGGTCAGCGTTGGAATTTTTTTTTTTCTCCAAATGCTGCCCCCAGTTTACCATATTTAGTTTGTCCGCTTGTTCCCAATCGATTACACACCTATGAACAGGTACAAGCCAGCTGGACTGGTTCCCTGACCTTACAATTCCCTGACGTCTATAAATTGCTCTGTTTCATCTTAAGTGGGGTCAGGGAACCAGACTACAGGAACATAGTTGTTTTTCTTGGTTTTTCCAGCATCTGCGAACACAAAACTTCAAACAAGTCAGTGTAACAATATTTGCTATAAAATACTAACCCCCCCAAATCCATTCATTTCTGAAAATGACAGCAAAAGCAAATGTTCTATATTCCCTTTCAAACGCTCTTACTAGTAAACTAAATCACAGTGCTTATAAATAATCAACAAGCAAAGTTAATAAATAAATAAAATAATCGATAAACCCAAGTGCAGCTGACAAATAAATTGATTACAGGTGGAACAGATGGGTTGGATCATTTTCCTGAATTTTCGAGCGAATTGGTATTTTGAGTGGAAAAGGGCAGACTGTTCCACTCCTTCGCTGCAGTGACTGTGAAGGTTCTGTCACCAGCTTTGTTGTGGGTACCGGTACATGGGGAAGTCAGACGGAGAGGATTAGCACTAGAACGGAGGTTATATTTTCGAGAAAAAAATATCTACGGCATGTCAGTAAACTGCCACTACTTATGACTTTTATTTTGTTTAATAACGGTTTCGCTTGTGTTCCTTGCCAGGCTTACGCGATCAAGAAATTGGGAGCAGCTGCAGGGGTGATGGTCACACCCTCCCACAATCCTAGAGGTGATAACGGCTATAAAGTCTACTGGGGGAACGGTGCCCAGGTAAGAATAGTGCCCAAGTAAGAATAGTGCCCAGGTAGGCATTGCCCCAACGTCCAGTGTCCCGAAAGCCCTAAGCCTTTTTAATTATTTAATGTGTCAGAATTTTAAACTACTATAGATCAATCGTTGCAAAATTGTTCCTAGGCCATTTGTTTTATTGAGCGGTTAACCTTGCAGTTTGTACTGAAATTCAAGCACATCATTGATGAATCTAATTTTACAAATATCCAGGAATTGGCCAATACAGTAAATAGATTACATTGTCGAAACTTTCCAACCCCCTCCCTCTTTCTTGTTTAGTGATATCAATTGTTTTAAGCTTCCCAGCTTTTCCTGCTTGTTTGATAATAGAAGTAAACATTATTGGACCAAGCAATAAACAAGTGTATCAGCTGTCATATTGCATCCTGGTATGCATAATGTACATAAACACAGACCTGGGCATTGTGCAGCGTGTGATGTGTAATGTGTTTAATGTTATGAATGGGACGCTCAGAACGACCACATAAAATGACATTTATCTTTAGTCAGTACATGTATCAGTGCCAGTGAATTCAATTAAACGGTCATTCAAGACATTTGGAATGATTAAGGGAAGTTTTGCATCCACATGGCTGGTGCATAATAAATAATGACTTGTTAATAAAAGGCTCCAGGATGTGCTTTTTTACATCATTGTGTGCCGTTTATTACAAAGGAATCTAATTTGCTGAAATGTTCAGCTGAATTAGGTACTGTATTAATTGAATACGAATGACTGATGGACGACCAGCTGAAAACTGGGTCGATATAAATGGTGCTAATAAACAATATGTAAAAAAAAAAATTAGAAGGCACGCATCTTTCGTATTTGTCTAGTCTTTCTAACACTTAAGCAAGAATAGAGATTTTCTAATATTTCACTATTTTGAGGCAAATTTATTATTAACTGCCTATGGGTCATTCTATAAACTTGGAGTCCCCTTTTCCCTGTCCCTGTTACATCTGACATCCAACAAATCAAATAATCATTTGAAGTCATTCTTAAAGATATAGTCCATCATTTGTAATTTGTGCATTTTGTTCGTTTGAAGCAACAAAAGGGTTCAAATCTAATGAAGGATACTGAACAACTAACCTGATGAAGTTTCAGTTCAGCTTCAGCTGTATATTCCGAGAGAAACAGCATTTTAGGATCTCAATTTCAAATCAAAAGTTGCTGAATCATGTTTTGAATTGTTTTGAATTGCAGCTATACGTGATGTCGCGCACTGATCCGACAAATTATAGCAACCGCGCGCGCCTGTGCGCCGTGCCAATGCTTGCGCGCGCTGCGCCGAATAACAAAACAAACTACTAATTTAAATTTTCCTACGGTGTGTCTTAAGACGCTTGCCAGAAAAATTAATTTTACAGGGAGTTTAGTCCTCTTACTATCTTTCAACCAAGTATGTTTTTCAACAATAATACGCCAGTTACTTTTTTGGATGGCTGCAAATGATGGACTATAGCTTTAATGATACTTGAATGGCAAATTACATAAGTACCAAGGTAACCGGGACAGAAAAAATGTCGCACTTTGGACCCTAAATTTCTAGAATGACCCACATGTCTTCATACAATCGACAAAGCTTGTTGGCAAAACATTTGCACACTCGGTGTTATTTCTATTAAAAAAAATATATATATGCCATTAGAATTAAATCAATGTTGTATTCAATTTGTCATCAGATCATTCCTCCGCATGACTCGGGAATCGCCAAACAGATCAAGGCTAATCTAGAACCGTGGCAGACATCGTGGGATACGTCCATCGTGGAGACCAGCCCCATGAAGAAGGATCCGCTGGATGAGATTATGCAGGTCTATCTGGAAGACATGCAGAATAAGATATATGACAGGTACTGAGGACTCTGACTGTGAAAGAACAGGGCCTAATATCATTGCTCTGAATACCATAAAGGCCTATTTACACATATGCAACGACTTTGTTGCGCGGCATTGTCACAGATGCGCTTGTGTCCACAAACACTTAGACGTGTCTCATATTTTGTTCGTCCATCTTTGATAAACAAGTAGTTCAGCGAAATACGTTCAACGTTTTGTGTCGCAAATTGAAATTACTTCACTCTCCTGAAGACGGTCAGGGCATAATGACCAGAACGTCGAGTTTATACCTCTGGTTCTTTTCAAAACCATTCTCTGAGATTATTCGCACATGGTGTTTCCGCAAACCTTTCATTATTTAGTATCTCCACCATGCAAAGCCTCAAATCTTACTTCAAATTTGATTTTTTGTTTAATTGCACAATAAGTGGCACAACGTTGTCGCGTTAATGTGAACACGCTTACTTATTTATATATATTTATAAAAACGTGACAAAGTCACGTGTGTATAAATAGGCCTTAAAAGCGAAGTTATTTTGTAAACTAAAGAAGAAAGTTCTGTCAGTTCAATAAGCATATTTAGCAGGTTAAATGCCCCATATCTATGGTTTCTGTGCTTGCAGCTGTAACACAGTATGTTGATGCTTAGTGGCTTGTGATCATTAGTGCAGATTTCCATGCATAGTAGAGCCATGAAATTGGGCCAAGATACCAGAAGGCTTTTCCTTTACCTTTGCGTTTCCCTGACTGCACAGCAGGTGGCAGAGCTGCCTTCAGTAAACTGCTAATCAGGGAATATTTGCTCCAAAGTAAAAAAAACCCAGGTTATCAGCCAAAATGTTCACAAAATGCCCAAGTGCTGCTTCTTCGCTTAGCACTTCAATCAGCTAAGCAGTATCTTCTGCTTAGAAGCTCTGTTAGTAGAAGCTCTGTTAGTAAAAGCCTGTACTGATTTTAACAGTAGAGACAAGCTAATCTTATTCACATTTTAGCGTTCAATTCTAGCAAGTGATCTTTATAAGACTTGATCTACCCTTATTACCCTACAGTCCTATTGACTCTTCACTCCGACCATTTCCATCACTGGATAGGGTTTTTCTTTAAATCAGTCAGTACATCTTTTATTGATACTCCAACAAAATCATGGTCATTTATTATTCCGATGCTGGACTAGACCTCTTTGTGACTTCCAGCAAAGGTCATTTGGATGTTGCCATGACAACCAGTACCTTTCAACTGGAATTCTTTTTTGAGCACAATAGAGCACTGACGTGTGTTCCGTGCTTTTGTTGTCTTTGCAACTGCGATTCAAAAGGAGTGAGATTTGACAATTGACATGTAGACTAGGCCAAGGTCTGTCTTGCATGCATACTCTCTACAGTGCTTTGATCATGAATCTTTGTAATTACTAGTCTTCTCATGTCTCCCAGGAATGCCGAGATCGTGACTTCAATTTGAGCACGTCCGGCTTGTTATTAATTGAAGCCATAGTATCCACACTCTTGTGAAGGAAAAAATAATGAATTTATCCCAGGAAATCAATTATTAAAGATAATTGTATTCTTGAATGCAGAAACACTTACTACAGGCTGTATTTTACTTGGTCATTCAAAAAAATCACCTTCATGCCAGGTGTAGTTGTGACGTATTTATGATAATACAAAAGTTGTTCTTTTTTAAATAAAAATTACATATGTGGTATGTAATTTTTCATTTGGATCCCGTACATTTGAGGACAGTGTCGATAGGCATTCTAATGATGCACCCTAGGGAACCTAGTTGGTTAGCTGTATTTACAATGCGACAAAACTCAACATGGCACATAAAACCAATTTTATTGCAAATCAAGTTTAAATCAACCAAACAAGGTTAGCTTTTGGTTCAGTTTACTCTACAAAAACAAACAAAAAACAAAACCAAAAATGCAGAGAAAATGTGGCAAGAGTATAAAGGCAAATTTAAAAAAAAAATGCTTTTTGGCCATCTGTTTCAGGCAGTTACTTACCCCACAAACGAGGACATTTGCAATTTGAGAGAACCCCAGTGTAGGGCTTGATAGCTCAGTTGGTAGAGCAACAGGACACTAAATCTGAGGTTTGAGGTTCAAATCCCGCACGATCAAATTCTTTGTTTAACCTAACACGGGAACTCAAATTGAGTGCACTGAAAATGGACAGATGGATATTTCTGTCCTGATATTCTTTTTCTGACACAGAGAGCTGAATGTGAACTGTCCTGTGCGAATCACCTACACAGCCATGCATGGAGTGGGCACTGAGTACGTCAAGAGGGCAGTAGAAGCTATCGGTCTACCCCCAATCATCGACGTGGTGGAACAGGTAGACAAAAATTGGTCTTGAATCTTACCACCACCCCCACCCCCGGCGGAGTTTTGTGAAAGGAATTTTTTTTTTCAGTAACTATTTTCATACATGGTTAAAGAGTTCTAACATCCCAAAATAAAGTTAACCAAGCACCAAAACCATTACAATGCACCATGAAAATTGGCATATATTTTCCAGTATGCGTAATAATGGTAAGTTTTGAAGCGCTCCCCCATTTGGAAGATGGGTACCAGCGCTTTTTGATTTTACGGAGGCCAAGTGTCTGGAGAAAAAAACATGTCTACTTTTCGACGCGGTTGTGCAAATGCGGTTGTCCCCTCCCCCCCCCCCCCCCCCCCCCCCGACATCAAAAGCTGGATACACCACTGCTAAGATATTAAGGATAAATCTGTATCCAGAAATAAGTAGCCGTGTACTTTTAATCTATCTCCAATTTAGACAGTGCTTTCTCGCCTATATTTTACCTCTACAACCATAGTTAGTCACATCATTGCTGAGAAACTGTGATAAGTCAAAAACAAAATCAGCTGTTATTGTCTGTCATTCTGACATTTCCAATCCAGAACAATCCTGACTCGTATTTCCTGACCATAAAGAGAAAGCTAGCTTCATTTTTTACTGTAAACAAGCATCAATTCAGAGCTCGGCCATATTTTCTTACTACAATCATAGTTGGTCGCTAATGATTCCAAAGAAACTGCAGTAAATCAAAAAAACCATCATCTGTTACTGTCTGTCATTCCGCCATTGCCAATGCAGAACACTCCCGACCCAGACTTCCCGACAGTCAAGTACCCGAACCCAGAGGAAGGCAAGAGCGCCCTCGACCTGTCCATTCAGACAGCCAACGAGAACGACAGCAGCATCATCTTCGCCAACGACCCGGATGCGGACCGGTTTGCCCTGGCAGAGAAACAACCGGGTGGGAACTGGAAGATTTTCACCGGCAATGAGGTGGGGGCTCTGCTGGGCTGGTGGACGTGGGTCTGCTATCAGAAGGTGCATCCGGACACTCAGAATGATGGAATATGTACGTAGTCTTCCTTTTAATTTAAAGACATTTCCTGTTTCAAGTTTCAGCGTGTATTCAAGTGGAATTGTGTCAACGATAATTTCAAGGAGAACAATTTATCAAGAAGTGTGATGAGTCACACCAAGAACTGATACGAAAACTTACAGGCCGTGTTTCATAAGATGGAATTTGCATCGGGGAGATGCAAATTTTATCAGATGAAACTGTTATAATGATAAAAAGATTGGTTGCGGTACCCGCTGTTATATGAGACACGAACCGGCCAGCGGACCCCGGCAAGCTCGGTGGTCGAGTGGTAAGACGTCTGCACTAGTAAGCAGGAGGTCGTGGGTTCGAGTCCCTCCTCAGTAAGCTTGTGAATTTTTTTTGCAAGCCCGCGGAAACATGGAAGATACAGCGTTTACATATATGTCTACAAAGAGCAAAACCAATATAAAATTTTCAGACAGTGATTACTAAGCTTTAACTACCAAAATCTGTAAGTACCTTCATGGTAAAGCTAGCCAGAGTTTTGTAAATACACTGAAGATTTATCAAAATTTTCTTTATAAATGATCAGTAATTTTTTCGTTAACAATATGGCCCTTAAACAAGTAGAGACTTTGACTTTTGTGTAAAAGTAGAGACATTTCATTTCATTCTCCAGACTCGGATGTGTACATGCTTGCCAGTACAGTCTCATCCAAGATTCTGAGGTCTATCGGTAACAAGGAGGGCTTCCAGTTTATGGTATGTTGAAACTTTGACCTGCGTTAACCTTCCAAATCCTCCAAAATTCAATATCTGTTTGATGTCGATGAGTTCAGGACTGCAGACCCACACAAACAAGTTGGCGAAGGGCCAAAATTGTACAAATGTTTATGAATAACGAATGTTTATGAATAATGAATCTTTATGAATAATTTCATGAAGTGGCAGGTGGAATGTTCGATTTTGTGAGACAGAGTCAAGTGGAGTGGAACATTCTATTTGTCACCGAATGAAATTATTCTCTCCATGGCACGAATGTGAAACATTCATTATTTGTTTTATAAAAAAAAAACCTGTAGTGGGACCTTGGAATGGAACTTCTATTTTTTGCGGTGAGGCCAGGCCATGTGTAGCCTTGGTCAAGGCCTTTCAATGATATTGCCTGATGATCGATGGTCGGCCGCTAACATAAACAATAGCCATGCGTTATGTGCACTCACACGTACTGTATGAAGCATAAATAGTGACCTCACGCGGTTAGGCTACACTATGCAAATCAGTTGATACTGGTCGAATGCCTTGGAACATCTGTTGCGATGGCCTATAATTTTCGTGCAATTTTCATTAATTTGTCGCTAGATTTATATCGAGTTACATTTGGTCTGCAGACGCCAAAGTTGTTGAATGTAACCAGAATGTAGCCACACTATCCAGCTCTCTGTCCATGTAAAATATGAGCCTCCACGACCAAGTATTGAATAATAATCTCATGTTTATTCACATACGAGGTTGTCGCTGGAAAAATACAGCCAAGGCGCACGGTTGTTCCAAGATCAGAACAAACTGATTTGCACATTGTAGCCTAGCCGCGTGAGGTCGCTGTTAACAACTTGTGCAGTAGGCGTGAGTGTGTAGCATGCAGCTACTGCTGTTTATTTTAGCGGTCGATCATCGGACACTATCGTCGGACGCCTTGACCAAGGCTTGGCCACAGTTTGGGATGAATAATTCAATGACACGTGATTAACGACCCACCATATCAGATGACGGAAATTTATTCAGACATTGTATAAAAAAAACCTGGGCTGTTTGATGACTGTTGATTCAAACCCTATCTTTTTTTGGGAAGAAGCTTTTCCTAAAGTCTTGGTTAGTTATTCTTCAACTTGCATAAATAAAGTTTACACTAAAGGTTCTTTTATACGTTATAAAATCAATATTTGTGGTTTTGTAGTATATCGTTTTCGAGTCCACACTTGTGTTAGCCAGAAGATTGTGAAGTGGCAATTGTGATGTCAACGACCATTATGGTTTGACTTGACAGGAGACGTTGACAGGATTCAAGTGGATGGGCAACAAGGCTGATGAGCTGGTCAAGCAAGGAAAGACGGTGCTCTTTGCATTTGAAGAGGCTATCGGTAAATGTTTCACAAACATTTTATTATCTCATTTCATTTGTGATCAGAGTTTGGCGTAATTGATAATAGAATGATTAATTTGGTTTAAATTTTGTAATGAATACCTTTTCCTGTTTTTGCTGGCGAAAGATACGTTGGAAAATGATGCTAAATTTTGCAGATTTTTCCTCTGCCTTTGTTGTTGTAAGATTTCAAAACTAATTTTATTATTTTTTTTATTTTTTTATTATTTTATTTATATTTTTTTTTCCATTAATCGAATTTTAGCTGTTTGACCCTTAAATACAGTCCAAAAATTGTGGGTTTTTTGGTTGTTTTTTTTTTTTTTTTTTTTTTTTTTAGATGGGGATTTTTGTTTCAGCTTCTTTGCATGTGAAAGGTCCACAATTCTTGAAATCAAAAGAAAAAGTTGAAATTTGACAGAATTATTCAACAGCATTGCTTATTATTCATTATTTGTTTCAGTATCCCTTGTTTTAGTAAGACCCTGGGTTACTGAATTCATCAGATTTTATCATGCAACTGATTACCACTCCAACCAGAGAGAGACTTGGTTCTGAGGGCTACATTTAAAGAACAACCAAAACACTTTGAAATTAACGTTAACCCACCTGAATCACTTGGGCTTTTTTTATCAGTGAGAAAACTTCTGTTGTGTTCTAAATAAGAGAGAAAACTTGGTTTTACTAAATTCCCAACATTTGCATTGTTTCGTGGAAGGTTTCATGTGTGGCACAGAAGTGATTGACAAGGATGGTGTGAGTGCTGTCGCGATGGCAGGCCAGCTGGCCGCTTACCTGGCATCCACAAGCACAACCTTCACAGAGAAACTGCAGGAAATATACCAAACGTAAGAATGCAACAACTCGCACATGATTGCTTTCACCCAGTCAGAGTAAACCAGGATGGGTTTTTAAGCAGTTTTTCATTTAGAGGAATTGGCGAAGTGTCCGTGACAGAGCCAATTAACCATGATATCTAATTAATGATTCAGAGAAATGATCCCAAACTCCGTGTAATGTCCTTGACCCTTACTAGATGATGGATCCAAAACTCCTAGCCTGTAATTCCTTGACCAATGCTAGATGATGGATGTATAAGATTGGAAAAGTACATTTTCAGGTATATTTACTGAGCTCTTAAAGGGAATGTACAACATTTGCATTTGCTGCAATTTGTAGAAATAAATGGATTTGGAGGATTAACATGTTATAGTAAATATTGTTAAACTGACTTGTTTCACGTTTTGGGCTTGTAAGTGTTGAAAAAACCCAGAAACCTATTATGTTCTTGTAGTCTGGTTCCCTGACCCTACCTAAGATGAAACGGAGCAATTGATACACTTTAAGGAATTATTGTAAGGTCAGAGAATCAGTCTAGCAGGCTTGTACCCCTTCACAAGTGTGTAATCAATTGCAAAGAAGAGTCAGAATAACTAAATATCAAAAATTAGTAACACTTTTTGAAAAGAGCCAGTTTTCTCCAACGCTGGTCGGCCGACCAGCGTTGGAAAAGTACAGTTTTTCTTGAAAATGTCAGAACACCAGGAGCCATGATTTTAAAGGATGCTTTAGACTGTCATTCCCTAACAATTCAGTAAGGTATTTCGTGATAATTTGATCATTTCGTTTTTTGATGTTTGCAAATGTTGTATCTTCCCTTTAAAAGCTCTGTCAAAAACATTACATAATGCTGGAATTAACGAACTTAAATTTTTGGGAGATTGATCATTCCGTTTCTCAAGTTTTAGCTTCTGATGGGATTACCATCATTTTTTTGAAGTGAAATGGGGGCTAGATAAGGTATCAATATACATATCATATCCTCATTATTTATGGTCTTTGAATCTAATTTGGTTTACACATATCATTACGACCACCATATAATACACTAGTAATATAATACACTAATTTATTGATAAAAAAATTGTTTACCCCTAGGAAAACACTGCACATCCTGTTTTAACCACACAAAAAAAATTATGCACCCTGTCCGTAAATCCTGGTTGATACTTCCCCAGTTCCACTTCCTTAATCTTCTCCCTTTCCATTCTTCTTCTCCAGATATGGGTTCCACTGTTCCAATAACTCCTACTACTTGTGCTTTAAACCCGCCACCATGAAGAATATCTTTGAGAGAATAAGGACACTTGATGACGGAGAGGTATGCTACCGGTCGAGTCACACTGGTCTCTGACTTGAACAAATCTGCACCCAGATTCCTACCCTATTACTGAAGGGCGTCAATCCTTTTGGAACCTTACTTATTAGGAATCTCTAAATTTGTGCAATAAGTTTTTTTATTTAGAGTAACAGACACAACTTTCCACTCACATCGTTGATTAAATTAACCCTAACTCCCTAAGCCTTTTTGCTAGGATGTAGCCTCATTCCTGCAAAATCGTCCAATTGGCCTCATGGAAAAATAGCATATAGCCTCAATCCTGCAAATTCCTCCGTTATTTCTCGAATATGGTCCATGGAGGGGTGACCACTGCCTGAATCCTGCAAAATCCTCCGGCTATGACAGTCAATAGGCAGAGGCAGTGACATCCTGGAGCAATGCGGAGGATTTCAAGTATAATCAAGGACTAAATGTATGCACGGCTGAGCATAAACAACACAAGGTCCGGCCCAAGACCTTGACACAGTGTGCACTCCGAAATCAGCAACGCACTTTTGCCATGTAACCTCAATCCTGCAAATTCCTCCAATTTGCAAAAAGGATTTTGGAGGATTTGGGATGGTTAGGGTTAATCCTAACCTTCCTCAATCCTCCAAAATCCTGCAGGCGGCATTAACCAGAGACCCTACGTTGCTCTGGGGGCCCTTGGAGTTTTCATTTTCCCTCAATCTCCCCCTGCTTTTATTCTCAACATGATATTGATTTATCTGGATGTGATTATATTACAGTACCCAAGCTCCTGTGGTCCTTACAAGATCACCGGTATCAGAGATCTCACAACGGGATATGACAACAATCAACCCGATAACAAAGCTGTAAGTCCAAATTCATTGATTCCTTAGTTCTAAAGCATTTAATGAAGTGGAAACCATTAGTAGGAATTCCGTAGGGGAGGAATATGCAATATAATTATGATATTTATATAAGTTTTAATGACATTTCTAAAATGTTTAAGTGGCCCTTTTAACCCTTACCCTGCCAGATGCAACACAGTGCATCTGGTGGAAAAGTCTGGTGCACTTTGATGCATTCAGCTACCAACACCAGTGCATAAACGGCCGCTTCTGAGACAATGAGAGCTAGTCCCATAGAACAATGTTTCAGTTGTATCCTGCTGCTTTCAGGGACCACAGACTCTGAGTCAGTTTGGCCTTGAGACTTTTGACCTGATGGATCTTGCTACACTGGGTAGGCTTGTCACTTAGACAAGTGTTGCATGTTGTTGCGTTTGGCAGGGTTTCTAGCCGAAATGCACTGGAGGGTTAGGGTTAATCAGAAATTTGTCGCTAACAGTTAACATTTTTCATGGGTTAGCAAGCACCTTTTTGTTGTGTTTTTTTTTTGCTTACAGGTTTTGTGCGTAATTCACATCCTAATGTCTTGGACGAAGAATGGTGATCATAACTGCAGAAGTTTCTAGTTAACAGAGACATGAACTGAACCAGTTCTTAATGTTCCTTTAATTGTAATGCTGTATGCCGTTAATGTCTCGTCCCTTTTTCCGTAGATGTTGCCAGTAAGTTCCTCCAGCCAAATGATAACGTTTAACTTTGCCAACGGCTGTGTAGCCACCCTCAGAGCCAGCGGCACAGAACCAAAGATCAAATATTACACCGAGATCTGCACTGAACCATCAGGGTAAGTGTCATACACGAGGTCAAAAGATGATCTTGTTTATCAACAAGGATTTCTCAAAAGCACCCTAGGCACTGTAGCTCGCAAACCTGAAGAAACCTGTAGAGAGAAGACAATGAGAAGAAATTGCAGTTTTAGAGATGGGAAGAAAACCCTCGAAGAATATTCTGGAGAACACCCAGAATTTTTTTTACCTGTGTTAGCAACGTAATCCAGGTACGAGACCCCACAAACTGCGTACACATTTTCTCTGTTTTCTCGAAATGTATAGTTTCCACTGAGCTGAAATGTCAACAAGTTGGTTGTTATGCACTCTAATTAAATTTTGAGTAATTTTGTTGCTTCAAACAAAAAGAAATGCACAAAGAGTAAATGAGTCTATGTACCTTTTAATTCAAACTATGTACCATTGGCTTCCTGTGCTTTGGTTGACTTTGGAAGATTGAGGAAGGCTCCTAGTGAATAGACTTCAGACATTATGACGTCACGCTTTGTTTACATGTGCGCTTTCCTATGGGAGCTTGGTGGATCTCAGCCCCACCTGGCTCTCATAGGAAAGTGCACATGTAAACAAAGCATGACATCATTATGTCTGAAGTCTATACTCTTACATAGTTAGAGTTAATGAGTGAATTGCCTTTGTTTTTATTTTTGTTTCCAGTGATCCAGAGAAAGCCAAAGCTGAACTACAAAACCTCCTTGACAACATCGTGGACCTCTGGCTTCAACCAGAAATCAACCAATTGGTACCCAAAGAATGAACCGCAGAACTCTTTATGTACATAACACATGTGTACATAAATTTGCAAAGTATCTATGAGGTAATGCCTCATTTTTTTTTGGTCTTTTTTTTTTTTAAAGATGGTATTACCATTTTGAATTTTGTATTGATGTAATCTAAACCAGACACTGATTCTTTAGTAGTTTGGGTTTGTTGGGAATCAGTCTGGTACCTGCAAGCCTAAATACTGCAGCTGGTGTGTTGTCAGTGGTATATCTAAAGTGGAGGATGATGGGACTAGGGAACCTGTCTGGAAGATACACTGGGGCTCAAATTCTGAAAATATGGTTTCTTTCACTACCGATGCCCCTAAAAAAATTAAATAAATAAATAAGAATATAAATAGGTATTTTTTGGCCAATTCCATTATATGTCTCTAAATAGATTTGAAGTTCTCCATTTTATTTGTTAAGCATAACATGCTGTGTAACAAAAAAAAACATTGACACAGTACTAACAAACCTCTTAACAATATGTCTAACATATTGTGAAATATTCATCACTTGACTTGAGCCAAGGCTTCGCAGTTCTCAAGAAATCGCTCACAGTAGCAGAGTATCATCATGCAACAAGCGACATTCCGCAGAACAAGGGATACCTAATTTTTGGGCTATATTTCAATTGAAAGTAAAAATTGTGAAATATAATGCTGTGACTTTGGGAATTACTCATTGAAGTCTATCAATACCCTGAAAGTGGTAAGACATCTGCACTAGAAAGCAGGAGGTCGTGGGTTCGAGTCCCACCTGAGTGAATTTTTCCAACTTTCACTTGGGAGGTAACACACTGAGTATACAGTGTTTATACGTCGGTGAAGGGCAAAACCTAACTTGATTTATATCACCCCGAAGCAAAATTCCACCTTATAATAGTTCATGCGGTACCCGCTGCTATGTACATCAGATTCGAACCAGCCAACCGATCCCGTTAGCTCGGTGGTCGAGTGGTAAGACATCTGCACTAGAAAGCAGGAGGGTTCGAGTCCCGCTCGAGTGAATTTTTCCAACTTTCACTTGGGAGGTAACACACTGAGAATACAGTGTTTAAACGTCCTTGAAGGGCAAAACACCCTGCCGCAAAATTCCACCTTATAACAATATCAATACCTTTATAAAATGGGCTGACAAAATTGTATTTCCTCGTTAACATTTTCCAGTTTTTATAACTCTTGTACCATTTCTTAATTTTCTTGAAAAGCAACTTTCTTGTGATTTGTGTTTGTGCTTTTTTAATTCATGTTAATATTTATGACAGTTGAAGTGATTCTCTGCTTTTTTTTTAATCGCATGACACCAAAAATTGCAAGAATTTGCCTTAAATTCTAACAGTAAGAGCCATTGCGTTGTACTAACAGCATGTAATGTTGGTCAACATTTTATAGATTATAATTATATGTAACATGAAGCATTTATGTGATATACAAATTAAAAGTGTCTTTTAAAAAAACCTTTTGGCATAGTTAAGGCAGAGAAAATTATACCAAGAAAGAAAAAAAAATGAAAAGTGTATCCAATCACACCCTAATCTTTATTTGAGTGTTGCTCTGTTTTCAGAAAAATATTTATGCAGGGATAATGTGAAACCAGTGAGTGCCATATTATAATGATGGATAAGTTAAAAGAGAAACATATTTTATATACCGAGGGAGTCGTAATCCATATTTAGTTGAAGCTACACCTAATTCAGTTTATTTGGAATTTTGAGTTTCAAGCGTATTTTTTTTTTGTAATTTCTTTTGAATAATGTCAATTATATGCTAGCTGGCAAATTTAAAATTAGTATGTTTTGTGTTGATTTTCGTATGAATTTTTTACAGTTGGATAATTTTGGTCGTTGCTTTAAAAGAACAAACAGCAAATGTGTGCTTTTATATACTGGTTTTTTATCTTCATAATTTCTTGTTCAAAAAAGGAAGTGTAGAAATTGTTCGCTATACTAATTTCTAAATCCATATCTAGGAATGGTAGATTTCATATCTGTTATTTCTTTGCGATTCCTCCTACACATTTAAAGCATACTTCATACATCACCGCTATTACGGTGAAGCGGGCGACAGGTGGCGAAGCTGCCTCTTGCCCACGAAGCGGGCGACAGGCGGCAAAGCCGCCTTTCCCTCGTATTTCAATAAGAAAGGCACCTTTTGGGCACTTTGCATATTGCATGTATATCTGGACTTGATGATTAAGCTAAAAGCCAATGATAACATTTGCACTCGTCCAAAAAGTAAGATATTTTTATGAGAGACAGAATTTCTTTTCCAAAGTTATACTCGTCTTTTGAGTATGATGTGTTGCAATTTATTTGTACACGCTCAATTCTTGTATGTTTTGGATTAGGCAGAATCAATTGCTGTAAGCATTCCTTGATCAAAAGAAACCAGAAGCTGAAAATTAATTGACTGTTTTGTTTTGTTATAACAGCTTTCCTGATAGACCCATTCCACAGGCTGTTTAGTATCATTACCTTAAGAACAAATCGGTTTTGTAATTAACCTCGCTTTACATGATTTGAGGCACCTTTTGATCTCAAATGTTCAGAGGAAAAATCTCGGCATGATTAACTTTGTAGAGAGTAGATTATGCACTGACATTTATTCTTTACTGTTAGTTTGTTTGCTTTTCTTATGAATGAATTGTTTTGGGGTCCTCAGTCTCCCTTGATCAGTAAAAATTGACAAAGCCTTTAAAAGGTTGTAAAATACCCAATATTTTATTGTTTGGCAAAAGAAATATGGTAATTGTTATCAGTTTTTTTGTTTGAACAGATTAAACCCAGTTACACATTTCTTTATTGTCAGATCTATTGATGTAAATTTTTAAAGAAATATCGCTGTGCTGCATTATTGCGTATCATTTACTGTTTATGAAATTATGTTATATTCAGGTCATTCTTCTCCTTTTATGTTTTTTTTTTATTTTCAAACCTTTCTCTAACAAGGTTACAAAATTAAATTGATATTTGGACTAGCATACTGCTTTTTAATTAGGGTGGGGATTTTTGGAAGAGGTTGGAAGATGGGTTTTTCTTTTAGTGTAAATACACGTGCACATTGTGTGAGAATGATTGCTGAAAAAAGTTATTGCATATTTGTAATTTACAAAATGCTTGCAGGATTGTTCAGAGCTTGGAAGTCAGTATATTTTGTTGAATTCGGGAGGAATTCTTTGGAGAAGAATCTGCTGCGTTTATCGATCTTTTAATGATTTTTTGAAAAGATGGAATTTACTTATGTTTTTTTATGCCTCACTTAGAGACATGTGTGACCCTTGTATTTATTCAATGTACCCCAAATTTTACAAAGTCTGACAGGTATTAAAGACAAAAACACAGTAACATTGAAGAAAATTGTGTCAGTGTCCAGCTTATATATTATTTTCCTGGGGTTTTTGGGTGTGTTTTTTTACAGATCTTGGTTTGATTTTGTTTATGTTTACAGCTTCGTAATTTGTTTTTAATTGTCGGTTTTGATGATTCAAGTTCATGTTATTTGTGTTTAACATGAACAATTTGTTGTAAAACGTCATGGAATTTGTTTTGGTGTATACATTTGTCACCCATGTTTTAAAATGGTATAATCAAACTCTTGGTTTCTGAAAATTGCATTTCTTGTTCTTTACTTGTTTTCCATTCCGTTTTCGTCTGCTTCGTTTTGATTGGTCAACAGTTCGGCTCAAAAATCATGAAGAGACCACTTTCTTTTGTTGAAAGGGATGGTCAAGTGCGTGTGTGCCACTTTACAGAACATCGCTAACAAAACAGTGGAGCACACATTCAGTTTGTTTTTGAATCAGAAACAAAATATTGAACGTATTTGACCATTTGATATATAAAAACCTAGTTGTGAACGTTTAAAAGCAAGATAAAAAGTAGATCAAGGCATTTAATGAACGCGCGCCCTCATTCTGTTAATGTCAAAGAGAACTTGCCACCCCTGTTAGTCAATGGACAGTCCCATAGGCCGTAACTTGTAATTGCACTCGGTGTGCATGCTCATAATCCGTGCATTGTGAACACCTGTGCGCGCTGTGAACGTAAGTCCGTGTGTGTAGCGGAATTCTACAGATACCGTGTCGAGGAATTCATTCCATGGTCCTGAAGTTGGCCGAGTTTTCCCAGGTATGATAATGTAGTGGAAACTTTTAATAAATGTGGGGTTAAATAAGTCAGAGTTAAGGCTTTGGTGGATAAAACATTGTGGAATTTTTGTAATGGAAATCTTCGGAAAAAGCTGAAAGTGTAGGTCCTAAATATCGTCGGGCCATGGAGGTAGGACAAATGTCCGAAGTGGGCTTATGACAGCACTGCCCCCAAAGAACAGGCTTTGTAAACATGTCCTTGAAAAAATTACTCGTCCAAACAGGGAACAAGTATTGACTGGACAATTGAGTTGTGTTAATATCATGGTGGACAACAACCTTTTTATTGATTTTTCACTGTCTACATTTTCATTTACAGGAGTTATAATAGTTGAGGGATCATGTTTTCCATCTGGGAAAAATGTTGCAACCTGACGCCATTTCCGCGATTGTGTACAAAGTCTATGGAGAGTCAAGAAAATTTTCTAGTACCGGTATTTCCTACAAAATTGGAAATTTTTCTCACTCAGTCCCAGATTCATGTCTATCATCATTTTGGCAATGAATGACCTTCATTGAGATGAGATATGAAGGAAAAAGTGGCACCAGGTTGCAACATTGTTTCCCTTATGTGCACTAGTAGTAGGCCTACTAGTTGTAGTTATGGAAATTGAACTAAGTAAGTTGCACATGCAAATGGTTGTTGTGTAACAAGATTAAATGTACATTTATACATGTACCTATGTCTCCAATTACATTATTTTTGTCCTTGATTTGCAGGCCTGTCATTTGCACAAACAAAAAATCAGAAAGAATATACTGGTAGTATCAAGACACCACTTCAGTGGTTGTGTACGGAGCCTTGTATGGAGAGTCAAGAACATTTTCAAAGTATTCATAAGTTTGGAAATGTTTCTCAGTCCCAAATTCTTGTCTTTTCAACTAATGCAATGACTGTCGACCTTCATTGATATGATATATGATGAAAAAAGTGGCTTCAGGATGCAATATTCTTTCTAATTTATCTTGGGAAATGGGAGTGTAATCTTTAAATCAAAAAAATTAGAGTGGCCTGTTTTATACTTAGCAATGACTGGCTTTGGAGGCAAAATCAGAGTTGAATCTTTTACTGTCTTGAAGTTTGCAATCCATTCCATCTCATTTTCAGTTTTGTATGGGGCAGTAGCTTTAATTGGATGTAACCCTCTTGATTACAGAGAGTTCAACAACCTAGTTAATGAGTCTCTTAGATTACTTAACAAGTGCTTTTTTGGTATCCAAGTCAGGGGCTGATGGTTAGGTGTAATGTATCAATTGTGTCTGTGTGCTTCGCCATATTTAATTGAATCTAGTGAAAGTGATGCTTAAGAGGATTAACTCCATTCATGATGAGTTTGGCTCTTAATGTATCAATGGAGCCATGTAGACACAGCAACTTTCAATTTTCCCTTTTCAATTTACAGTTTGTCATGTTGGCATTTCATATGCTTTAATTTACAAGGTTAAATTTGTATTTTGTTTGAAGACATGTATGGAGTGCAATAAATTGGAGATTTTACGAAGTTAAGGGTAAGAAATAGGATGCTGTTGTTTGTCTACAAAAGCACTTGCATTTTTCAATTAAGTCCTTAAAATAAGATTTGAAACTTTGCATGGTGGTACTTGAAGTGAGGGTTTGCACTAAACCCCGGGGATGTGGAATAATCTCTTTCCAGCTTTCTTCTGAAGACCATCAGAGCATACTGATGGGAATGTCGAGTTTCACAACCAAGGCAGTTCTTTTCAGAACAACACATCTCATAAAGAGATTCTTCCTCATGGTGTTACTGCAAACTCTCACTGTGTCCTTATCTGTGTGAAAATGTTGAGATGTGCTTGCCAATTGTGCGACAAAATACGGAGTAACCTCAGAGTTTTCAGGAAACTTAATGAAATTCCTGTTTGTTGTCATTGCAGCTCTTAGTTTTTTTAAGAGCCATGTGGCTGGTGTAACACAAGCAAGTTAAATCGGAACGACAAGTTCCATCTCACAACACCGCCACCATGTTCAAGAAGTTTGCCAAGAAGGTCAGCCAGGCCAACCGCGAGGACCTGGTGGACTTCGGGGCCAACCTGGAGAATGCGGAGCCCGAACTCTGCATCCGGCTGCTCCAACTGCCCACGCTCAACAACTACACGGGTCTGAAGAAGCGCATCGCCAACAGCGACAAGGAATGGCTGCAGCGGTTCCTGGAGCTGGACGGGCTGGACGTGCTGCTGGAGTCAGTGGTGCGACTGTCCAGCCGCGGGATGAACATGGCCCAGGCTTACTTGCAGATCGAAGTGGTGAATTGCATCAAGGCGGTCATGAACTCCAAGGCTGGGCTGGAATACATCTGTGAGAATGAGGAGTATACTCGCAAGCTTGCAGAGGGTAAGTTCAGTTGCAAATAGTGAAAGTACGGTCCGACATCAGACATTTTTCTACCATTGAAAAAATATTTGTCCTAACAAAACAGATGTGCTCAATAATCAAATTGTATACTTGGAATTTTTTTAAAATAAATTGAGAAATTTGACACATGGCGTATATGGCTGAAAATTGATTGCGGCAGTTTATTTTGTTCAGGATAATTGTCGTGCCTATTTTCATCCCCTTGTAAGGTATTGATTAAAACCCTACCTTCCGGGAGACCTCAAATCTGCTGCTTTAATACACTTAGGTAATGGAGGAGGTTTTTGAGATTAGCAGGAACTAATGCATTGGGTGAAAAGAAATTGGGTTGTTGAACTTTAAAAATTCAATTTCATGTGGCATTTTAAGTGAACTGTACTTCCCCAGTGATGACCTTTTTTTCCTAGTGTGTGTTCTTCTAAAAAGGGCCATCCATAACAGTGCAGCTTTAAAGACAATTCTTTATTTTAAAGACAATTCAACTGGAAATAATACAACAATAATTCACAGAACTCTATTGTCTGCTAACCTGCCCGTGGCCCTACCACTAAAAAAAACAACCTGTGATTATTGATCATTATTCTATTACTACTGCTTTTCTTTTGTTTGCTATGGGATTTGACATCATTTTAAAGTCATCTGTATTTTGAACCTTCTCATTTCAGAGTTTTTCTTTTTGTCAACAATTTCCCGTTAACTTTGACCTTGTGTAGGCTCATATCACAACTTTGAGAGATAATATCCTTATCATTTTGTTATTAGGTGTACAATTCAGATGTACATATTTGACTTCTGCAGTACCGCAGATAGTCTAAAAGTAATATTTATTAATTGTCGCACCCACACACTATTATAGTCAACTTTCGTCAATACAAACCCAGCCAAAGTGTTTGTTATATCAGTGCCGGTCCCATTCTTGTGCACATAAATGCACAGTTGGGATCAAGGCTTTATATTTGCTATAACCAGAATTTGTATTAACAGTGTTTGTATCAACAAGTGTCACTCTACAATAAAAAAAAAAATCTCCTAAGCAAAAACAAAATGTTCACAGCAAAATGCTGAGTTACCGTTTGATGTTACTAAAGTTCCGTGAGCAGTATACCTTAAAAATGTCCCCCAAGGTTAACTTTGCACAGACCACCAAGAACTCTTCAAATAGAATGGTACAGAGTTCAGTTTATTACTTAATTATGTTTGGCCAAAAAAGCCACCAAATGACTGGAGACCTAACCCTTTACTGGTTGCTGGCCAACTAAAAGTTTTCAAGATAACCACGACTGGGCCCCACAATCAGCATAGTTTGGCGAACAACCTAGTCAATGTTTGATTTTTACTTGATGGGCTGATAAAGCGGTAAATTAGGGGGCTGTTAAATGTGCAGGCAATTTTGCTTCCCGGTTACCAGTTCCAAAGTTGTGAAGCTAAAAGCTATCGTTTGAAACGAAACTCAAGTTTGTTTTTTAAAGTAAATGGCCTCAGATTTTTGTTGGGATGTTAGGCAACCGATCGTTTCAGTGTAGCTTTCATTAAAAATGTACATGTACACATGACTCAGTTTAAATGTAGGTGTCTATATTTACAGGTGGTCATACACTAATATACACCTGGCACAGCAAGAACCTGAGCAGTTTTTATAATCATCCTTGTTTGGATATTTCTCGGTGAACAAAAAAAATTCTGAAATATACATTGTGTCACAGAATAACAAGAGCGCATGCGCTGAAGCTCCTGAAACCACAAAACTAAAAGTTGCACTTAGCTAGATTTTCATTGGACATTGCAACACACAATTGAATGCGGGGCCTGCATCATTGCATTCAATTGTGTGCTGCAATGCCATTATGTCGTTATTTCTTACAGTGTTCCCAAGTGAGGTATATATCAAATTGAACCGAAAAGTTCAGTGACAAAACTTATATTTCCAACTTTTTGTTCACTGAGAAATGTCCAAACAAGGATGATTATAAAAACTGCTTAGTTTTCTATTTTTGCCAGGCGTATTATTCCTGTTTATTTTATGTCTGCTGATGGCACATTTTAGTTTAACTAATTAGTCTCAGAATCAAGCTGTATATTTGGCCTTATATCATCAGTCACCAATTAATTTGGTTCCAGTGCTGTAGTTTAGTCTAGGGGGAGATGTGGTGACTGATTGACTTGCTGTCACCATTAGCTTGTCTAGGCTCTGTTTGCTCTTTGACAAGACTTTGGATATAGTACTGATGCTGTAGGTACATGAGTCGGCATTTTGTCTTCATTTTTGTTATTTCATTAATAAATTGTAAAGAAAAGGGATTGTTTCAAATTTAACCAAATCAAGATACCGCCACAAAAAGAGGGAAAGAATTTTCCTGTTATATCTTTTAAGATTTCCATGCCTGAGATATAAGTCTTCTTTTGTATAGTCTTCAAGTCTTAGTCAAGATGCCCTCCAGACTTAAAAGATTACACCAAATCAATTTTCATACCACCTACATTTTAAAAGACTTTGGCGCGGCCTTATTCCTTTTATGACTTTCTGTACTTGGGCTTGGCTGATGGCCTTGTTTTAGTGACAACAAAACTTGATCCTCACCCCCTGGGTGGCCTTGGTTTTGTGCCTTGAAGCCTACTGTTCTACATGATGATCACTTTCCGTGTTTGGCCAAAGGTGACATGTTATCACTAACTCAAGGGGTGTTCCAAGGAGAAGTTTCCCCAACCATCCGATCCTGTGGCCTACCCAGTATCAATGTCACGGTATACCACTGTGAATTTCCTTTGAATAATAACAAGGTCAATATCAGGAACACAATTGATTAAACCCATTGCCTGGCAAACCAGTAGTTGAATATGAAACGTCAGGAAGCTTGTTCTGTTTCGCTCCTCGGTTTGAAATAACATTCAAGGTTACATATCTATGATATGTGTCTGTAACATAATGCATGTAGGGACCTTTAGAAATGATGCATTGTACACATTTTTGGCTCAGAAACATGCCGATTATATCGATGTGTGGGTACCTCATTAAGCCCTTGTACATGTATCTACATCACAAATTTTAATATGAACTGCACATATTGCTAAATAGTTTGTGCTGGATAAAATAACCACAAAAGTGGTAATTTAACAAGCAACTTTTACCGAGCGGCATAAATGTTTGTGTTCAGTGAAATCTCGATAAGTCAAACTCTGATAACTCAAAACAACTGTCAAGTCAAACAAAGAATCCATTGCCTTCAGTAGTATAACAATGATTTACAACCTTGCTTTTAAAACTCAAAACTCTGTGTAAGTCCAATTTTGAACCTGTTCCCTTGAGGTTTGACTTATCAAGAGTTCACTGTATGTGTCATGTACCCATCATTTTTAATCGTCTCTAATTAACATGTATGGCTCGTATATTGTAGTAATGCTTTAAAATCTTTGGCGATTGAATTAATTGGCTTAATGAGACAGAATTATAACGATGCATCATTGATGTCACTTTATTTTCACAGAAACACTGTTTTAAGCCAATACATCCAACAATTGAACACAGAGAGTTAACTTGTACCTAATTATAAACCTGACTAAACACTAACTGAAAAGACACCCCAAAAATCTTAAACTGGGCATTTTTGATATGGAGTCTTCCGTTACATGAACATGTATAATTCAAGTTTGCCGAAAAGAAAATTTAATTGCACGTATCTTTATACACATATTGTGATGTCATTGAAATAGATTCGGTTTGTGGTTTATTTGATGATGAGCTAATAAACTTGTCTGCATTGATAAAACGTAGCTTGGAAGCAAACATGGAAGCCGTGGGAGTGGGATGTGGGTTCATTCCACGTTTACGACATGTTCACCATTCACCTTAAAGGCCTAGTGAACCATTAAGGAATTTATGTAAATACCACATCCGCAGTTTTTGTGTGTCAATGTCAAGTTTATCATTTGAAGGGCTGTTATCGTCCCTGTAGTGCAGGCATGTCTGACTAACAACCTGTTGTACACATATATGTTCCTTTTTCCTTGATCCTTTTTCTTTAAAATAAAACCCAAACTATTATTTGAACTCATATGAACAGTAGGCTGCTTTTGTCACTGGTAAAAATTGTTAGTTTTGTTATCAAAACAGCCTATTGATACAACACATTTAAAAAAAAAAACATTATCAAGAAAACCGATGGCCATCACAAGTAAAAGAAGACAACCAATGACATGTACTCAAATTCCGAAGACTTTTGTTTGGGGGGGGGGGAGAGTTGTTGACGTTTTCCTCAAGAAACCACTTGCCAGCTGAACAGGTGGATGTACGTCAGAGAATTGAGGGTCACCACACAGACACCTCCGTCTAGACTAAACGGGAATACTCTAGAACACAATAATGTCAGGGTCATGTTTGTCAGGGCACAGCATTATTGTCAGTCTTTCTGTGGTCTTTCTAAGCTGAGGGGGAGTGCCATCCTCTTTGTGGTGAGGTCAGAATGACAAATCGGTAGCAAAAATTGTACGAATGGTATCCTTCACAAGTTGAAAGGGGTCAAACTTGTCTATTGTGACTTACTTCAAATAATATACACGTCTTAGCAAATAGATATTATCATCCATACATGTACAACACACTGAATGTATCTAAATTCAGCATGTAAACTTAGTTTCCGAAAAAAATGCATTTCAAAGGATATTGGTTAGATTTATGCCGCATCTGAATCAGTTGTTTCGGGCTACTACATCATGTACATTGATGGTTGGAATTGACATGCAACAGTAATTATCTGTTCCACTGACAAAATTACCTGTTTTTGGATTACAGTCTTAAACTGTGTGTTTTGTCACGATTGATTTGTTACAATACACAAATTACCATTCAGGCATATTACTAAAATGGCACGTACAAGTTGCTCTGTGCCTTTTTCAAGCCTATTAAAATTTCTCGTCTGTGTTTCCTGGACTTTTTTACATGATTGATTGTGAAGTTATACAAATATACAGAGTCCATGATACTT